TGCTCTTCTTCTCTCTCCTCGTACTGTCTGTCTGTCTGTCTGTCTCTCTCTTCTCTCTCTCTCTCTCTCTCTCTCTCTCTCTCTCTCTCTCTCTCTCTCTCTCTCTCTCTCTCCTCTCTCTCTCTCTCTCTCTCTCTCTCTCTCTCTCTCTCTCTCTCTCTCTCTCTCTCTCTCTCTCTCTCTCTCTCTCTCTCTCTCTCTCTCTCTCTCTCTCTCTTCTCTCTCTCTCTCTCTCTCTCTCTCTCTTCTCTCTCTCTCCTCTTCTCTCTTTCTCTCTTTCTCTCTTCTCTCTCTCTCTCTTCTTCTCTCTCTCTCTCTCTCTTTCTCTCTTCTCTCTCTCTCTCTCTCTCTCTCTCTCTCTCTCTCGCTCTCTCTCTCTCTCTCTCTCTCTCTCTCTCTCTCTCTCTCTCTCTCTCTCTCTCTCTCTCTCTCTCTCTCTCTCTCTCTCTCTCTTCTTTTCTCGGAATGTGATTTCAACCCGTGTGATAATGGACGTCGGAAATCCGTCTCGAGTTCTTAGGGAGAAAGAGAGGGAGGGAGGGAGACGGGAGGAGGGAGGGAGGGAGAGAGGGAGACGGGAGGAAAGAGTGAGGAGGAAAGGAGAGGAGTGAGAGAGGAACGGGAGGAAGAGGAGAGGAGTGAGAGAGGGAGACGGGAGGAAGGGAGGAGGGAGAGAGAGGGGGGAAGGAAGAGGAAACGGGAGGAAGGGAGGAAGGGAGGAAGGGAGAGGAGAGAAGGGGGAAGGAAGAGGAAACGGGAGGAAGGGAGTGAGAGAAGGAGATTGGAGGGAAGGGAGAGAGAAGAGGGGAGGAAGGAGGAGAGGGAGGAGGGAGTGATGAGAGAGAGACGGGAGAGGGGAGAGAGGAGGAAGAAGAGAGGGAGACGGGGGAAGGAGGGAAGGAGAGAGGGAGGATGACAGGGAGGGAGAGGAGAGGGGAAGGGAGTGAGAGAGGAGAGGAGAGAGAAGGAAGAAGGAGAAGAAGAAAGAGAGGAAGACGGAGGGAGACGGGAGGGAGGGAGAGAGAAGGAGTGAAGAGAGAGAGAAGGAAGAAGGAGAGAGAAGAAGAGAGGGAGAGAGAAGGAAGTAAGTGAAAGAAAAGAGAAGGAGCAAGAGAGGAAAGGATGGAGGAAGGGAGAGAAGGAAGGAGGGAGGAAGGGAGAGAAAGAGAGAATGACACAAAAAGATTTCCAGACAACGTTGGATAAATTCTATAAAAAAAAATATATAACACTTATGACGCAAATGTTTACACTCATCTTATGTACCTCATTAATATTAATTAATCACTATTAATAACATTCATTCATTATATTTTCTCTCGTTAGTTCCTTCCCACGCCAAAAAAAAAAAAAAAAAAACTAATTAGCTGGAAGAAAAAAGTTCGCACCTTCATTTTAGTAAAAAAATCCTCATTAAAAGTTCTCTTCAAAATAAGCAAAAGAGAGGAAGAAGTGAGAAGATAACGGAGAGAAAAAGTCAAATGAAAGAAGGAAGGGCAGCAGACAATAAGAGAAAGAAAAAGATAGATAGGGATGGTGCAAAAGAAAAACGGATAAAGGAGAATTAGAATGCATTACGTAACAAAGCGAGGTATTCGATCCCGCTCGTGTTGTCCGAATGCTATTTGAATCCATTTTAAGAGACGAAGAAGATACAAAGCGAAACGAATTTGTTTTGTTTTGTTTTTTGTTTTCTTTTCTTTTCTTAGATTCGCAAAAGGAACGGGGGAAGGAAGATGTCTTTTATTTCATTTTGTTTTTTTATTTTTTCGTGCTTTTTGAAACCACGCAGAAAGTGAAAGAGAAATATTTGACTTTTTCTTTTGTATGTTCGTTATCCTTTTCTGTTTCACTGTCTGTTTCCATCTCTCTCTCTCTCTCTCTCGCTCTCTCTCTTCTCTTCTTCTTCTTCTCTCGCTCTTTCTCTTTATTCCTTTTTCTCCCTCGCCCCTTCTCTTCTTCTTCTTCTTCTTCTTCTTTCTCTTCTCTCGCCCTCTCTCTCTCTTCTTCTTCTTCTTCTTCAATTCCTTCTTCTTTTCTTCATTTTCTCCTTCTTCTTCTTCTTCGACTTTTCTTCTTTCCGTCTTTTCTTCTTCTTCTCTCTCTCTCTCTCTCTCTCTCTCTCTCTCTCTCTCTCTCTCTCTCTCTCTCTCTCTCTCTCTCTCTCTCTCTCTCTCTCTCTCTCTCTCTCTCTCTCTCTCTCTCTCTCTCTCTCTCTCTCTCTCTCTCCATCTATCTATCTATCTATCTATCTCTTCCTCTCTCCTCATCCTCTTCTTCTCTTACGAAACATAGAGACAACACTCATCTCCTTTTCCTCCCCAATAGACTCCTGTATCGGCTTCAACAGCTGTGAAGACGACATCCGGGTTCCGATGCCATTTGAAAAGGATCCGATCCCGGGTGCTCCGTGCTAAGCGAATTGGAATGTCTCTTTTTGATCGTCTTTTCCGTATTTCGCTTCTTGAGAGCAAATGGAGGTTTCTCCGTTGATTGCCTCCGACGAATGATGATGGCAAAGCAGTGGTATCATTATTATTGTTGTTGTTGTTGGTGTGTTGTTTGTTGTTGTTGTGTTGTTGTTGTTTTTGTTGTTGTTGTTGTTGTTGTTGTTGTGTTTGTTTGTTGTTGTTGTTGTTGCTGTTGCTGTTGCTGTTTGCTGTTGTTGTTGTTGTTGTTGCTGTTGTTGCTGTGCTGTTTGCTTGCTGTTGCTGTTGCTGTTGCTGTTGCTGTTGCTGTTGCTGTTGCTGTTGCTGTTGCTGTTTTTGTTGATGTTTTTGTTGTTGTTGCTGTTGTTGTTGTTCTTGTTATTATTATTATAATCTTCAGCATTCTTATTATCCTCATGATCCTTATTATCAGTATTATCATTATTATCATTATCATCATCATCATCATTATCATTGTATCGTTAATATTCTATTACCATTATTATTACCATTGTTCTTATCATTATCATTATCATCATTATTAGTATTATCACCATTAACATTATCATTGTTATAATCATCACAATCATTATTATTATCATCATTGTTAGTACTATTATAATTTTTATCATGATTATCATCATCATTTTTGTTATTCTTAATAGTAGTAGTATCATTACTAACGTTATTATTGTTATTGATATTATAATCATCATTATTGTTATCATTATCATTACTATCATTGTTATCCTAATCTTTGTCAATCAATCACTATTATTTCTATTGTTATCATCATTAATATCCCTCCATAATACTGCCATCAACGACAACAAATCCACCAACACCAGCATCACCGCCACCACCAGCACTGCCAACATCACCAACATCAACACCAACACCACCACAACAACAACAACATCCATACTACCACCCTAACACCTACCACCAACAACACACAACCACCACCAACCATCGATCACCACATCACCACCACCACCATCACCACCACTCCCCATCTCCACCACATCACCCACACCTTCACCACCACCACCACCCCACCATCATCCCCACCCTCACCCAACCACCACTTTCACCCCCCATCACCCCCACCTTCACCCACCCACCCCCTCCACCCCACCATCACCACCACCACCACAAGCACTATTACCAGAACTTCTCGGCACAACTTCCCTCCCTTTAACTTCAATGGAGATGGAAATTATGAACTAAAATTGAACAGAGGAAAGTAACAGCGGAGGTTCCATCACCTGGTATTAATGTTCCGTTCCTGTGGCCATCACTGGAAGCACGGCGCTTGGATGTGGAATGTGAAATGTGGAATGTGGAATGTGGAATGTGGAAAGTGGGGTGCAAATGTGGAAAGTGGAATGTAAATATGGAAAGTGTGATGTGGAATGTGCAATGTGGAAAGTGGAATGAGAAATGTGCAAAATAGAATGTGGAATGAGGAAAGTGGAATATAGAATGTGGAATGTAGAATGTGGAGAGTAGGATGCAAATGCGGAAATTGGAATGTGGAATGAGGGAAGTGGGATATGGAATGAGGGAAGTGGGAAAGTGGAATGCAAATGTGGAAAGTGGAATGTAAATATGGAATATGGAAAGTGGGATGTGGAATGAGGAAAGTGAGATGTGGAATATGGAATATAAAATGTGCAAAGCGGAATGCAAATGTGGAAAGTGAAATGTGGAAAGAGGAATATAGAATGAGGACAGCGGTATGTAGAATATGGAAAGAGGAAAGTGGAATGTAGAATGTGGAAAGAGGAAAGTGGAATAAACTGGGTTCACCAGTAATGTCTACGATTTTCTGCCAGTGATTCGTGTGTGTTGTTAAGGGTCAATTTTCCTTTCATTTTAAGGGGGTGTTGATGATAGTAATTTTGACACAAGTGATAATCATGGCAATAAATATAGTAGAAGTGTCGATGATAAAATGATGATAAAGTAGTGATAATAACCATGATGATAATTATAATAACAACAAGACGAATACTTATGCTAATGATGATAAGATACTAGTACTAATGATAACAATGATAATGGTTATTATTATCATAACAATGATAATGACAGCAATAAAGATAATGATAATGATTATATTGGTACCAATAATGATGATCATAATAATGATAAAAATAACAAGAGCAATTATAATGATAATGTCAATAATGACCATAATGACAGTAAGAGCATTACTAATGATAGTTACAATGATAATAATGATGATAATATCAATAATAATTAATGACAGCATTAATGATAATGATTATCCTAATGAAAATTATAACAATAATGATAATAGTAATGAAAACAATAATGATAATGATAATGAAGATTATAATAATGACAACAGTAATAATAACAATGATGATAATGATAATAAAAGATTTAATAATAGTGAAGATGATAATGATAGCAATAACAACGAGAGTCATAATAAATGATAATGAATGTTGATATCATAATAATGAAAATAATGATAATGATATTAAAATAACAATAACAATGAATGCAACAACAAATTAAGCAACAACAAACGTTTTTTTTTTAATCTAAATCTCTGAAAATAATGATAATGATAATTAAAATAACAATAACAATGATTATAGCAACAACGAACGTTTTTTTTTATCTAAATCTCTGAAAATAATGATAATGATAATTAAAATAACAATAACAATGATTACAGCAACAACGAACGTTTTTTTTTTATCTAAATCTCTGAAAATAATGATAATGATAATTAAAATAACAATAACAATGATTATAGCAACAACGAACGTATTTTTTTTATCTAAATCTCGCGTGATCATTATCTGAAAATGATTTTATTAAAGGTAAATGCATCCTCCTGTTTACACTCTGCCTAAAACCTTTTGATGCCTCTCCCGATCCCTTTATGAGTAATTACTTTAATGACCCCACTAATGAACCTTACGTCAATTTTTTTTTCCATGCTCACGGAATCGGACAATTTATACCGTAATTATCGCTCAGTTTACCGTTTTCTTTGCGATTTTTCGAGGGGTGGCTTGTGTATATTTTTTAGAGGGCTGATCTCTCTTTCTCTTTCATTCTCTCTTTTTTCTCTTTTTTTCTCTCTCACTAATTCTCTCTTTCTCTTTCTCTTTCTCTCTCTCTCTAATTCTCTCTCTATCTACCTCTATCTCTCTATCTATCTCTCTCTCTCTCTCTCTATCTATCTATCTCTGTCTCTCTCTCTCTCTCTCTCTCTCTCTCTCTCTCTCTCTCTCTCTCTCTCTCTCTCTCTCTCTCTCTCTCTCTCTCTCTCTCTCTCTCTCTCTCTCTCTCCTCTCTCTCTCTCTCTCTCTCTCTCTCTCTCTTCTTCTTCTCTTCTTTCTTCTTCTCTCTTCCTCTCTCTTTCTCTCTCTCTCCTTGTCTTTCTCTAACTCTCTCTCTCTCTCTTTCTCCCTCTCTCTTTTTTTTTCTCTCTCTTTCTCTTATTATTGTTAGCTTCTTATCATGTCGTTTCTTCTTCATCACCTCTCCATTCTCCTTATTCTCCTCTTTGTTCTACACATTCTTTTCATAATCTTACCATTATTCTCATTCACATTTTCCCTTTCTTTTATTCTCACCTCTTTATCTTCTCTTTCTTCTTCTTCTCCTTCTTCCTCTTCATCTTCGCTTTCTTCTTCTTCTCCTTCTTCCTCTTCCTCTTCTCTTTCTTCTTCTTCTCCTTCTTCCTCTTCATCTCCATCTCCCTATCCATCCCATTCACCTTATTTCTTTTCTTCTTCTTCTCCTCTGAACAGTCTCACAAAACCCTCATTACAGAGTTCATTAAAGCATAATCATTGTCTTTATAATCATGTTACATTAATCATAATGCACTCATTATGGTCCAGTAATTTTAGTACAGTAATTACGGTGATGTGATTATGATTCTCAGACGTTTTAATTATGATGTTGTATAATGACAAACAGGTTGATGGACATAATGAGAGATCTAGTAGTCATATCAACAAAAAAAATTAATAGAATATGAGAATATATATAGGATAATAGTTTTATCAACAAAAAAATGGGTAGTAGTTATATAAAAAAATAATAATTTTAAGATCGGAAGTCGGTAGTAGTATATTAAAAAAAATAATAATTATAAAATATGAGAATATATATAGGATGATAGTTTTATCAACAAAGAATTAATAAAATATGAGAATATATATAGGATAATAGTTTTATCAACAAATAATTAATAAAATATAATATAGTAGGAGGCAAAAAAATAATAGAATATGAGGATATATATAGGATAAAGTTTTATCAACCAAAAAAATTAATAGAATATGAGAATTATATAGGATATAGTTTATCCAACAAAAATAATAAAACATGAGAATATATATAGGATGATAGTTTTATCAACAAAGAATTAATAAAATATGAGAATATATATAGGATGATAGTTTTATCAACAACAAAAATAAAATAAAACATGAGAATATATATAGGATGATAGTTTTATCGACAAAGAATTAATAAAACATGAGAATATATATAGGATAATAGTTTTATCAACAACAAAAATAAAATAAAATATGAGAATATATATAGGATGATAGTTTTATCAACAAAGAATAATAAAATATGAGAATATATATATATAGGATAATAGTTTTATCAAAATAATTTATATAAAATATGAGAATATATATATATAGGATAATAGTTTTATCAACAAAGAATTAATAAAATATGAGAATATATATATAGGATAATAGTTTTATCAACAAAAAAATAATAAAACATGAGAATATATAGGATGATAGTTTTATCAACAAAAAAATAAATAAATATATAGGAGTATATATACATATACATTTTTATATAGGTACAGTACACATATATGAAAATGTGACATAGAGATATGTATAAGTATATGGAA